CTGAGATGGCATAAACTTAAAATGCGTTTTTTTTTCTTCCCACATGGGACAAGCATATATTGACCAACTAGGTCTACAAAATCGTAACAATGCGATAAAGCGAGTATAGTATTTTAACTTAGCGAAATACATTGAATTGAAAATATGTTTTAACCGTCCAAACCAAAATTTTTAAAATAAAAATACGCCATCCTTCTGTAATTCTACTTTACAATCTTACTCTTTCTATAAACTTTCTTTATTTCAATGTCTTGTCTCATTGTAGATCATATACATGTAAATATTTTTTTTGACCTATATCATAATTTTAGCATTGTGTATTGTATTTTTCTATATATTTTCAATTTATTAGAGGTGCCAAATCTTTAAACTTCCAGTTAGTAAGATGGGGAGATAATATAGCAACTAACCCCCAAATGTACCCCATTTCATGTTAAAAACATGAAAACAAAGTTAATTTTTCCCAAAATTCGAACAAAGACTTTCGTAGGAATCAAATTACACCAGGTTTAAGAACATAACAAGTTCCACCCAGTCATTATCAAATTAAAATTTATATTCGCAAGACCTTTGGCACTGATTGAAATAATTATATCTAAGTTCCCATCCGTACGATGTACATAATTACCCTTATGGAGATAACAGGAGTTACTGTTTATAACGTGAATCACGAGCTCACGTTTACAGTATTTAATTAGATGTATGATCGACGTATAAATACGACTCCGATATCTTTCGATAAGGAGAAGACGATGTAAACCATTCAAAGCAAGTGTGGATAAATGTTTTAAGATTTGTATTCTGTGTGTTGTGGAAATTTACAAATAAAAACATATAGAGATTTTTAACGCATCTTCATTCACGTGGGCGTTGAAGCTGAAGGGTGAACGGGTGACTTGCATGTTCTGAGACAATCTACGAAATAGCAATATACCGTAACATCCCATTCATCTACCAATCATTTATGCTATAGATTATTCATTGAAAGCTAGTGGATTATTCATTGAAAGCCTCAAGACATCCAAAGTTCTTCCTCTCTTTAAAAAGGGTAGTGTTTCAGATCTTGGAAACTATAGACCTATTAGTCTTTTACCATCATTTTCTAAGATTCTTGAAAAAATAATGTATACCAGAATGTCAAACTACTTTGAAACTAACAATGTTTTCCACTCTCATCAATTTGGTTTCCGCAACCATCACTCCACTGCTATGGCTGCTAATGTTTTGGTACACAAACTGACCAATGCGTTTGAATGCAAACAACATGCAACTGGAATATTTATTGATATCTCAAAAGCTTTTGACACCATTGACCATTGTATCCTCTTAAGTAAGCTCTATCACTATGGAATTAGGGGCGTTCCATTCAATTGGATCAAGAGCTACCTTCAAGACAGGAAGCAAATTGTGCAATATGACAACTCATTCTCTACAAATATTTGTGTCATGAAGCACGGAGTTCCACAAGGATCTTTATTTGGCCCATTATTTTTTCTAGCTTACATTAATGACATGTCCAGGTGTCTGAAATCCTCTGAGTCGATCATGTTTGCTGATGACACTAACTTGATTCTTCATGGGGAAAACCTTGAAGATCTATTCACAGTTGCAAACCAAGAACTAACCAACATTCATAGCTGGATGTTAGTTAATAAATTATCTCTGAATGCTAACAAAACTAAATTTGTATTATTCCATCCAAGCAAGCATGAAAGTGTGAGTTGTTCAAAAAAACTACTGCTCAATGGCAATGAAATTGAAAGAAATAAAATTTCTAGGAGTTATCTTTGATGAAAATCTGTCATGGAAATCACAAATAATGCATGTTATTGGTAGAACAAAAAGAAACCTAGCAGTTTCTGCCGAAGTATTCCAGTGTGTTGATCAATCAGCTCTACTAGCAATGTTTCAATCATTACTACTTAGCCATATTCGATATTGTTGTTCAGTCTGGCTTCATGGTAATAAAACCCTTGTCTCAAAACTGCAGAGTATTTGTAATAATTTTTTAAGAATAGTTTTTGGTAAAAGAAAACGTGAAAGTGTAGACTCTTACTTCAAATCACTAAATATACTTAAGGTTGATGATGAAATTTAAAATATTATCTCTAGCTCACGACTTCCATAATAATGCGCTGCCCAATTGCTTTAATGACATACTTGTCAAAAATACCTCCATCGGAGAAGTAGTTCTGATTTATTCGTACCTTTCATGAGTAAATCCGTGAGTCAGCATTCCTTGTCTTTTACTGGACCCAAACTTTGGAATTCTCTTCCCTCAAATTCGAAGACATTAAAGTCCAAAAAATCTTTTCAAAAACAAGTCAAGTCTCATTTAGTTTCCAAATATTAAAAATTACTACTGGTGGTATTCGATGACAAAAACTTGGGACACTCCACACTTGCACATTATTGTTTTAATGAAAATGTTGAACAGCTATAATAATATTGATATATCTTGGCCAGAACTAGTCCAGCACCAAAGAAATGATGTTGTAACATGCATGAGTATATTTTTTTTTAAATATATAGGTAGCTAACGTACCCGGATGAAATTTTCTTTAAATAACTGCACACATTCTATCACTTCACGCTCGTGTTTTTATCGTTTTCTAGCTGTGATGTCCTTATCATACACGCTTGGTCTTATGTTTGAGTGGTGGTATAAGGGTTGTAGATAGTACAATATTGTTCCTGCAAGGTTACTAATTATTGCAACTAGGCAAGCAGTAGAGCTATGTTGGATTCTCCTCTTCAGATTTTAATTTGCTGTGGGTCATTGTAATTGGATGTGGTGTTTATATTTTAGGGAACATTTATATTTTTGCTATTATTTCTGTATTGCTGTTGTTTCTGATCTGATCTTACGAAGAAGACATACTCCTGGTACCGAATACATATATTGCAATTGTATATTTACAAATACAAAGAACAGTTCCAAGTCATGACTGATAAGTCACATAAAATCAAAGTTTCACTGCAAGCCCGAGTTCGTTACACGTAACTTAACCAAAAGCAGCAAAATTACCCAATATCCTATAATATCATTTATGTATGCATGCATTTTATGTTAAGGCATGGTGTTTGAGTTGACTTGTTGGCCAAGGTATAGATAGTAAAATTTTGTGTGTTTTTTGCATGGTGTGATAAATTTTTCTCTGTCCCACGCGGAATGTCATCATAGATCATCTATCCATCGCTATATAATGACAATACATCCCATTTAATTAAACAATTATTTTTTGCCTGTAATAAATAGTTCAGAGCGTTCCCCTTCACCCAATCATTGAAACATCTACTCGCGGTTTTTTTGTTTTTCAGGTTACTTCAAAGTGATTAAATGAAGTAAAACACATAAGAAAAAAATCAAAAAAAGACTCCATATCCTGTGAAATAACAACTTTATTCCTATATCCTTGTCTGAAATCAATACCCAGGAATGAAAAACCTCACTTACACCCTTTGTAACCAATTTATTTCCACATCCTACTTTACTTAAATATAGTAATTTTACTGTTACCGGTAACTTTAATTACTTATTACAATCTGGACTATAATTTGGCAATAATAGGCTCTAATTTGGGGAATGAAATGGTCTCGCCCACCTCTTCATGCACCCAATTCTGGCAACTTTGGTTGAGCAACTTGGCATTTGACTCCCAACTATAATCAGCTTGGCAATATGTTTTCAATAGAATCTTCCTTTTATATTTTAAATAACGATTAGAAGATCGATCAATTTGGCAATGACAACCATTACAAAAATATCAATATGGTGTGGCAAATAATTTTTTTTCTTTTCTAGTATTTATTTTTTGTTTACTGTATAGTATACCCTAAATTTATCGCGTTTTATTCTTACTTAAATAACTTCTCAGTGGTTGTGTGTGTGTGTAGCTGGTGGGTGCATAATTATGGGTGCATTAATAATTTTAGGTGAGTAAACACGTACCACTTCCTCTTGGCAAAACCTTCCATCTTACATTTTGTACGTTATAAACCTTATCTAAGGTTTTGTTTGCTCCCCCGATTTCATAATCAGTTTTTATTTATTTGTTTTTATCTGTCAAATGTATTGTTATGCTGATTATGGAGTCGAAATAAACTTATACACTATTTTCCTTGCTTCCAAAACCATACCCACCTCGGATTCTATCGGCACCGCCCAGGACCATAAAGTACACAACAGACCACCGTGCAGATTCTTCTTCCATGGCAATTACCTTGATCGCGATTCAACAACTTATAATGGCGCGGCGGTGTGGTTCAACGGGCTAAGCGTTAGGAATACGCTCGCCACCGCACCTCAACTACTCTGCGTGGGTTCGCAGGTTCGAATCCCATGCAGGGATGGTAATGTGCGAGAGGATTGCTGGACTCCTCGCCGTCGTTGGGTGGTTCACGTAACCGCTGGTCGGTACGGCTTCCTCCACCACCAAGTCCATGCTTCCGAAAACAAACAATACAGTAAATCTAATCCCATACCAGACTTGGAATGGTAACCGGACGAGAGGCCGTGGTTCGCCATATGGATAAGCCGTCTTATCGGCTTTCCTCTCCCCCGGGATAAATATGTAAATCCTATCCTAATCTGAACACCAATCTAATAATGTTGTAGAAGTAAGCCTCGTTATAACCGTAGAATTATGGAAACTTTGCCCTACATAATAATAAAACACGTTACCGACCGAATATTATCGTGGAGGAAAGTACAACCTTATAATATTAATAATTAATTGTGAATCGGATGAAGAAGCTGTGACCGGCGGTTGGTCCGACCATGCTACACCCTAGGATCCAGAAAAAATCATCATTCGACGATTGCTTGGTAATCACGGATTGGATGCTGAGAATTACTAATACTGAGTAGAGAAATGCCCGATTCTCGTAGTGGTTTTCCTCTTCCATATTTTGTCACAATGCGAAATTGCTCGAGATGATTTATAGTTTTGGCTTTCTCAATTTCTGATCTAGCCACTATATTTTGTACAATGACAGAGTTTAAAAATAAATTATCATATCTTTTTATCTTATACAAAGCAGCGGCTCGTACATACCAGTACATAAATCTACACAACAGTTTCATGCAACATTCTAACAAACTGAATGGGCATTTCATTTTTTATACATTTTGCTCATGACTTGTGATGAACTTCAAATTTGGATATTTCCTTTAAAATATTTGTAAAATTTTCTTTAGTTACTTTTGTTAAATTTGTAGATGGAATATTTGCTTGAGGTCTCTTATTATGTTGGTTGTTTGCATCAAACGACCTCCTACTTTCAACATTTCTCCTGTTATTCTTTCTTACATTGGATTGAATGATAGCCCTGGGAACATCAGAATGTCTTCGTTTTAACATGGATCCTTTTTCTTTAGGTAATTGACTGTTATATTTATTTGCCATACTTTTAGTTTTTGGAGAGGATCTCCTTTTACCACGTCTTGTTGTTTATCTTTTTTGTCAGTGGCCTTTATAGGTTTAATGTGAATATTTTTACTATGTTTCGTACGATCGGATGATTCATCAGAAGATGTCGACGAACTGGTATCCTCCGAGTCAGTTCCACTGCTTGAAGAAGACGATGAAGAACTTGAAGATGAACTTGAATCTGATTTAGAACCTGATAATTTCGATCTTTTTGATTTCGATTGAGAGCTACGAGAACCTACAGATGCACTAGATAATTCGTTTCTTTTTTATGCTTGATTCTGTTTTCAAAATTTTCTTTAATTTACGAGCGGCAGCTGCATATTTTTCTGTTTCACTTGATGAGCCAGAATCAGAACCTTTTTCAGCGTTTTTGTCTTCCTCTGCAATTTTATCTAAGGCCAGTCTTGCTTCTTTACAATTTGGATCTAGACTTAAGGCTTTTAGATAACACTTCTCAACTTCTTTAACCTGGTTTATGTCATGCATCTGAGATCCAATTTGCTTCGCTCGGTCTATCAACACTGCAACAAGATACTTCTTCGCATTCTTGTGGTCTGGTTCAATCTTTAAGGCACCTTCAAAATCATGGATTGCACGAGACATTGTACCACGATTTGCATACAATGCACCCCTCGCTACTAATGCATCCACATTTTCTGTATCCATGTCCAATGCATAGTTAAAATCCTGGAGTGCTTCAATGTAATTTTCGGACTTGAATTTCTTTATGCCCTTTTTAACACTGGCATCAGCAACTTTTCTGCTTTGCCTTTTTCGCAAATGATCAGCATAGTCTTCTTTCATATATCGTTTGCTATGCAATGCTTTCGTAATCGAAATATAACTTTGTGAAGGTATGCATAAACGAGACATCAAATATCCCACACAACCTGGATTGACAAAACCAACACTTTTACAAAGAACATCTTCATAAGAGTCTTCCATAGAAACTTGTCTTTGGTAAGCGAGTGGTAAATTCTCTGGTTCAACTTTCCCCTTTCTACATTATGATCCAAACTCGCATTTGATACATTCAGGCTCACTTCAAGTTCAAGGTCATCTATATTTACATGAATTATGGCACAATCGTAAAATATCCCCAACGCTAAAACGCAAAAGAACATCCTCGTGATTTGTTACTTTGGGAATTTCTGAAACAGAGCACCAGGCATCTATTTTATATTTATCCAGTTCTCTTGATTTTCCTGCATCAAATGAGAGCAAATTCACGTTTAAGCCATTACCAAATATTGAAGAAACTCTGACAACAACAATGTCGCCCCGATCAAAACTATTCCATAAATGCTTCACAGCATCAGATTTTTCCAGTGACATAAAGCTATCAAGAGGAGGGCATACAGCATAGAAATCTTTTGTATTTTCTTTTGGTGTCCATTTTTGCCAGCTCTCTTTTTCTTGTGGCCTGAAATTGACTAATGTTGACTTTTCTTGAACAAAGTTGGACAATTTGTCACTGTGAATGATCAACGATGAAGCACAATGTGAATTTCCATCCATAATACATGGCATAAAATCTAAAAATTGTACAATTTTAAATTAGAAGCTTGTTATTAACTAGTTTTTCTTAGTTTAGTTTTCCAAGGGATTTCCAACAGTATTCAAAATGAAAGTAACATTTACCTAAATCAGTATAAGAATTGCAGAACATGAAACTTTGGGCAATTACTGTATATCCTCACATATTAAAAGCAGAGTACAAAACTAAAAAAAAATTGCCAAACTCAGTGGTTAGCTTATACGCGCATGACCTTGATTGCACGGGTTGGCTTATATTCGAATTTTTATGAATTAATCATTTCAGGGCCGTTTTTAGGAGGTCGGCTTATATGTGAGGATATATGTATGTATTATAAAACAAACATAGCACCAGCAAACAATATGAAAGTCATCAAAATCAAACTTTCCTAAATTTGCAATTGTATCTGATACTATTAGGAAGTTCGATTTTTTCTGGTTCACTCATTCAAACACATTGGTGATCAGCAAAGTCTTGCCTAAAATACCAAAAAGCCCAAGAACCATCTCCAACATTACCCAATTTGAGAATTTCACTAATAAACACACCGTGTTCATGGTGCATTAATAACTTTATAAAGACATTATTTGAAGACACATTAATAATAACTATGATGCCCTAGTCTTGTATTGGATGAAATGAAATAAACAAAATAATTGGTTGTAATGGGAATCATGGTGCATCATATTACTTAACAGAAATTTATCCTGACAGTGACAAGTATACTATAATATAAAGTATACACTACATGAAAAAAACTGAATAAGAATTTTTCGATATCTGTGTTGTGTAGTGTAAAAGATGGGAGTCACTGTTCATAAGCTATTTCATTAAGCAAACTAGATAAGGCTTGTTACACACACTATGGTTGTTTGTGCTATCACTATAAATTGGTGAATTGGAAATTCATTAACATATCTATAAACAAAGATAAAGAAATTAAACACTTAAAAGGACTGTGTGATGTGTTTTGTATCTGAGAAGATTTTGAGAAAATTTAGCTTGGGGTTGGGTGAATTGCAGCTTGGAAAAAATGTTCTATTACAAAAGTCAACAAATTGACATACATATAACATCATGGGTGCAATAAATTACTATGTACCTCTTTGCATTTTCATTCTTATCATTGCATTTAGTGACTTTACAAAGGTGTTTTTTAACTTACAAGTAACAATTACCTTTCACACAAGTACATTTCCAATAAAATTTAATCCAGAACAAAACACAAGATTGCCAATGCTTCAAAAGATGAATATTCCTTGCATTAAGCTCAAAAGAGAAATTAACCAAGGCAAAAAATCATTATATTTGGGACACCAATCGTAGCTTGCTTTGAGAATTCAGCAAAATTAATACTGTTTTGTCAAACAAAAGCTATATAACATGATACAGAATGGTAGAATTTAAAGAACTTATCTTTAAAAGATAGTTGCATAGCAATAGATAAGTAGATTAGAATTCAAAACATTGGAATATATCTCATGAAATTTCAGATATTGAATTTATAATTGGTAATTAGCCTCTGGGTTTTTCAAGAAAGAAATTAAATCAAAACCAAGTTAACTTCAGCATGATTGGAAACTTCATTTAACATAATAAATAGAAAACTATAAATAAACAAACAAGACAGAAAGTATTCATTGCCTTCAGCAGCACAAATGTCAATGCATAGCAGCATTAGATAAATAATTTTTCTGACGAAATTTTTCCATTTCAATTATTTTACAAAATTCTATTTTGCAATTTTCTGTAAAAATTCAGAACTCAAGCATAGTTTCAATATACAACGGCTCTAAATTATATTTCCCTTTATTCTCTAAACCTTAAAACATATGAATTGAACATAGTGAAATTACAAAATTAAAACTGCATGCTCATAGTTATATGGGGCAATCAACATCATTATTCTCAACATAAACACTTTTGAGTTGTGTGAAATAGTCCACAGTTATTGTGCCATTTTCCCTTCCAATACCAGACATTTTGTTTCCTCCAAAAGGTAATTCAGTTGGATAAATATTGTAATTGTTAACATAGCAATTCCCAGCTTGTAATTTAGCAGCCACCCTGTGAGCACGGTTAAGATCATTGGTGAAAACACCAGATGCAAGACCAAATTTGGTATCGTTTGCCCGATTAAGCACTTCCTCTTCAGTTTTGAATGAATAGACATTCATGACTGGACCAAATACTTCTTCCTTTGATATCTCCATATCATCAGTAGGTTTCAAAATACAAGGACTGATAAATTTTCCTTTCATCTTCGAATCATCAATGGTAATATATTCACCTCCACACATTATTTCAGCACCTTCCGTCTTTGCCCGTTCTATCATTTTCATAACTTTATTAGCATGTGCTGCATTTATCATTGGTCCCATTCGTGTATCATCTGCATGTGGGTCCCCCAGTTTAATTGATTTAGTATGTTTCACCAAACGAGATATTACATCACCAAAAATAGAATCCTGAATGAAAACTCTCGTTCCGTTTGAACATACTTGACCTTGAGAAAGGAAGTTGGCCATTATGGCACCCTTAACTGCATTATCAATATTGCAATCATCAAATATAATCAAAGGGGACTTCCCACCCAATTCGAGAGTCACATGTTTAATTCCAGATGCACAAGATGTCATTACTTTAGTGCCAGTTTCGACACTGCCAGTAAATGTTACTTTCGCAATATCATTGTGTGACGTAAGAAAGTTACCAGTCTCTGCTCCACCTTGTATAACATTGTATAATCCATCTGGTAATCCTGCTTCCTGGTAGATCTCACCGAGAATGACTGCAGTAAAGGGCGTAAACTGAGATGGCTTAAAGACAACAGCATTGCCACATGCTAAAGCAGGAGCAGACTTCCAACCAGCCATTTGAATCGGATAATTCCATGCACCGATAGCTGCAACAACACCCAACGGCTCTCTCCTAGTGTACCCAAATGAACCCCCAGACAACGTAAAATGTTGCCCACACATTGTTGGAGCAATCCCAGCAAAATAAGTTACAGAATCAATCACGGATTGCACATCACCCATAGCTTCCCACATTGGTTTTCCTGTGTCAGACACTTCTACCCGAGCAATATCTTCTTTCCGATTCCGCAGCAATTTTGCAGCTTCCATTAATATGTCTCTTTTTTCTGGACCAGATCGTTGACCCCACTCTTGTTGAGCAATAACAGCACTTTTGACCGCTTTATCAACATCACCTCGCCCACTACTTTGTATCGAACCTAATATGCTGCCTGTTGCGGGTTCTTCAAGATTCAACTTTTCTTGAGTAGGATCCAAAGTTTTCATCCTTTTACCATCTATAAAATTCAGGGAATGATTGCTTAAATAACTAGTCCATGATGCAAATCCCCTTTGAAGCTGCCTGGTCGACTGTGCATTGATAATCCTGATCGACATTATTGACTAACTTCAGAAATTATACTATGTGTATACTATGTGCAGGCATAGAGATACTAAATTCTGAAATTTAACAATGTGATCAAAGATGATTTCAATCCACGTTCAGACGTTTGTTGCAACAGCATAGATTTGATAGGACAGTCTGACAGTAGTCAGTACCGTACCGTAGGTGGACTAGATAGATCATAGACTGTTAGACAAAATGTTAGATACCCAGATACGGTACCGTAAAACCGGCTAACTTCGGATGATTTCACTATATTTTGAACAATATCTCCGCCGCATGTTGTTCAACTGAAGCCAAATTTGGAATATAATACATTGTGGCTATTCTCGTCTTGATAAAGTCGGTTTCATATCCATCAAAGCCTTTTTTCATTGAAATTATTGTCTTTATTCGTCTATTCTAAAATTATCTAACTTCGGATGGCCACTTTTCTCTTTGCGTCAACTCGTCGTGAGAGAGAAATGTCTGCGTAAGCAATGACGCGTGACAACGTCGCTGAATACACCTTACGCCGCCACGACCCGTCTTGCGTGTTGCATACTGACGTTTGTACGTGACGTTACTACGTGACGTTACTCTTGCCGCTTCGCGAAGCTTAACTATTTATTCTTGTGTCCTTTATTATAACTCGTATATATTTCACAAACTACTCCTAATTTATTGCAAAATGCTAGTTCGTTCTTTTATGATCGTTTATTTTCAATGCAAGAAAAGGATTCACAAAAAAAAAAAACGGAAGAATTGAAAGTACCTAACACTGGCGTAGGTTGAAATGCAATATCAGAATATGGAACAAGTAAAGAATGTACAAAAATTAGACAATTAAAAATAAACAGATGAATCGAATGAAACACTGGCAAAAGTAAAAATTGAAATCAAAAAGCAATATGGAACAAGTAAGGTATGAACAAAAATTCGACAGTTAAAAATAAACAGATGAATTGAAGGAAACGCTGGCAAAATCAGGAATTGTAATCATTTCCACATGGGTTAGACGGGTCTTTGCAACAGTTCTTGTGGAACCAATGTGATAGATCAGATTTAATGTGTTCACAGGTAGATAGATAAAGTCAAATGACAATAAACGGATAAAAACGGCATAAAGAAACTTCGCCACTTTTTTTTCATTTTGCGCCTCACCTGTATGTGGTCCAACCTCCTGCTGTGTGCATCTATGTAGAGTTCTACGCTCACCTGTTAAAGATATTATTATCATCTGTCGATCGTAAACAGACAGAACCAATCATTATGATCGTATAGATACATGTTTCAGGCCTAACGTATTACCAATTGCTACGGTATCTATCGGTGTCGGAGGAAGTATGCAAAACAAAAATCGACAAATTTCATATGCATTAAGCGTATGCATACCCATATTTTTAAATGAACAACATATGACTGAGACGATAGTGATGTTTTTGTAGGATTTAGTGACTAGGATCATGGATAAGCATAATTTTTAAATTTCACAAAACTGGGCGCCGTGATGTCTGGCGTTCAAATGTCGCAGCGAGTAACGCAAAGTGACGTCGGCTACGAAGAGAGAGAAAGGGATTTGCGTCGTTGACGTCACGCTGTACGTAATCATCAAAACGTCGATATTTTGATGTAATTTTTAAATCAAAATAATCGATTTCACTCGAATCTCGTACGACACCTTGTGATCACTGTATTTTTTTGTATACATTGTGTACGCTCTCTAGCGCTTGGCGGTGATTTGACGAAGGTAGCGTCTGTAGAAGTCACGATTTGAGCCGCTCGAAAAAACGGTGTCATTTTTTTGGTAAAATATGATTTTTTGAATGATAAAAAATCAAATCGAGCGATTGGAGGCTACGGCAGATTCAGATATGTAAGGCCTTACTATAGAAACCGACAGAAGCGCAATACGACGAAATTTAGTTGAGATATGAATGATTGAAAATTTCATCCGAAGTTACAAGGCATCCGAAGTTAGCCGGTTTTACGGTACCTGTAGCCTATACCGTATTCAGGTACAAGTAGCCTAATGCTGCAATGGGTCTGGTTACCGGTAACTATCGGACTATAGTACACTTATAACTCCCCCAACACGGTAATAACAAAATAATATAACTTTTGAGTCATGATCGAGAATCAAATATGACTCCACGTACCGTACCGGTACCGGTACCGGTACTGAGAAGTACAAGTACCGTATGGTACCAGTATTTGCACTCCTTCTCCTGTTCTCAACCGTGAGAATCCGATCCTTCTTCGTCTCGTAAAAAGAATGGCTTTGTATTTTTTTTTCGACAGGCGAAACCTCCAAAAATTGCACCGGCAATTAATATTATTTAAATTAGCTTGGACCTTTGTAAAAAGATGATCAACACGTAACTTCCCAAATGCTGCAGTCGTCGCAAAGAGTGCCATGTCCGAAGAAGGCAAATCGTTTGTCATGGCATTTAAAAAGAAGTGGAGATAACACGCTACTATGAGGAAGTCTATCATCGATTTTAAGTATATCGGACATTGTGTTACCGATACGGACTTGAAAAGTACAGATGGACAAAAATGATTTGATCCACAAAAAAGGCCACGTATTCCAATATTATACAGTTTTTATAAGAGGCCACAACGCCAGACCATGTCGTAAGCGTTTTTTTATATCTAGGCGCGGCGGTGTGGCTCTTCGTGCTAAGCGTTAGGAATACGCTCGCCACCGCAGCTCTGATTACTCTGCGTGGGTTCGCAGGTTCGAATCCCATGCAGGGATGGTCATGTGCGAGAGGATTGTTGGACTCCTCGCGCCGTTGGGTGGTTCACGTAAGCGCTGGTCGGTTACGGCTTCCTCCACCACCGAGTCCATGCTTCCGAAAACAAAAACTAACTAATCCCATACCCGACATGGAATGGTAGCCGGACGAGAGGCCGTGGTTCGCCATATAGTTAAGCCGTCTCATCGGCTCTCCCCTCCCCGGGATAAATATGTAAATCCTATCCTAGAGCAGGTTGGTCCAAGCTTGTCGGCTCCGGGGGCCACACAATTATTTTTGCATTGTTCGCGAGCCACAATAGTGCCAATAGGTGAACAGTAAATATATATATACTACAAATTTTGCCGTCGAAACGAAACGAAACACCCGTTTGTCATAGACAGTAAAACATGTCACCAATATTACCCAACGAATTCAATGTATATATTGAAGCGAACTAACTTCTTTCTAACAAGAAAAAGACTTTCAATTATGTTGATGTTTAATCCATAACAAAGCAATGTTAACGACAAGCGAACAGAAAACAGAATGACAAGTTATCGTAAGAAAAGCACGTAAGTAATCATGCGTGACAAAAACATAAACAAAACAATTGTGACTCATAACGGCTATTATTAGTTAAGTGGTTCGCCACACTACCCCCCCCAGACGGAATGAGTTATAAAAATCTAGTGGGTTTACGAGTTTTTCTACCAAATTTGGTTCTGTAATCATAACCGGTTGTAGGTTCGGATGAACGATCGTCTGTAGAACGCTGATTGTTCGTTGTTGTTTTAGGGATTGGAGGACGTCCTCTTGGTTTAGGAATGGATACAGATACAGGATGGTCGAGATCAAGATGAGCTGGCTTCAACCTGTCAACAGAAATAGTTTCGCTTCGGTTTCCAATCTGTACTTTGAAAGTTTTATTCCCATGTTGCAAAACTTCGAATGGTCCTTCATAAGGTCTCTGTAAAGGAGATCGGTGTGCGTCACGACGAATAAACACGAACTTGGCTTGATTGAGTGCGGCTGGCATTCTTGCTCTGAAAGGACCATGGTGCGACGTAGGAATTGGAGCCAATGATCCTACTCTTTCTCTGAGAAGCCGAAGATTTGTGGTCGGGCAGCTATTGTCTTTAGAGTCTGATATGAAATCACCGGGGACAGTGAGGGGAGCGCCATAAACAAGCTCAGCTGACGATGCCGTAAGATCTTCTTTCGGAGCTGTGCGGATTCCCAATAAAACCCATGGAAGCACGTCCAACCAGTTTGTATCATTGAGTCGTGCCTTGATGGCAGATTTCATTGTTCGATGAAAACGTTCTACCAAACCATTTGCCTGTGGGTGGTAGGCTGTAGTGTGATGAATTTTTGTTCCCAATAATTCGGCAAAGGCAGACCAAAGGCCTGAAATGAACTGTGATCCTCGGTCAGAAGAAATGTGAAGTGGAACACCAAAACGGGCAACCCAATTTGACAGGAAAGCTCGGGCACAAGACATAGTTGATATGTCTTTGAGGGGAATGGCTTCTGGCCACCTTGTGAAACGATCTACTATTGTAAGAAGGTAATTGTATCCTTGTGATGGTGGTAAAGGACCAACTAAGTCAATGTTGATATGGTCAAAACGTTTGTCTGGCATTTTGAAATCTTCTAAAGGGGCCCGTATATGACGATTTATTTTAGACTTTTGGCATTCCAGGCATGTTTTGGCCCATTGTCCAATTTGTTTGGAAAGACCATGCCACACAAATTTTTGTGAGATCAGTTTGCGAGTGGTACGTATGCCTGGATGCGAGAGCCCGTGAACCGCATCAAAAATTTTTCTGCGCCAGCTGGCAGGCACTATAGGTCGTGGTCTACCCGTAGATACGTCACACAGCAATGTAAATTTGCCGTTGCAAAAAGGGACATCTTCGACACGAAGACCGGTGATAGCAGTGCGGTAAGCCTGTGTATCCTTGTCGTTTAGTTGATCTGTGGCCATAATTTCATAATCGATGCCGTCATTGATGTCGTTGATGACCGCGCGCGACAGGGCGTCGGCGACAGTATTATCCTTACCGGAAATATGTTTTATATCTGTTGTGTATTCAGATATGAAATTGAGGTGACGCTGTTGTCGCGCTGACCATGGCTCAGAGACTTTTGACATAGCAAAAGTGAGGGGTTTGTGATCTGTAAAAATCGTGAAGGTTCGTGCTTCGAGAAAATAACGAAAATGTCGTATTCCTAAGTAAACGGCCAAAAGTTCCTTGTCGAATGCACTGTATTTCGTCTCGGGTTTGCGTAGCTGTCTACTATAAAATGCAATTGGCTTCCAAGATCCATTTAACTTTTGCTCGAGAACACCTCCTAAGGCAACGTCCGAAGCGTCGACTGTGAGGGCAGTTGGTGCGTTTGGTTGTGGATGTGTAAGCATAACTGCATTTGCCAGTGCTTTCTTAGTTTTTTCAAATGCACATATCATAC